TGAAATCCACGAGCTCATTTTAGAGTCTTAACGGGATCGAATCGCTCGTTGGAGCATAATGGGCTCTGATACCATGTTAAGATTTGGGGGTCCATCTTAAAAGGTCAACCTTGTTAAGAGGAGTAACCCAAAATCTTTATTAATTGGTCTGTGTCAACATCTTTATTCGATGTGGGATTATATCCCTTAACACTTCAAAGGGGGCACGATCGTCCGTGCTGGATCCAATGGAGTCTAAACATCGTTGGGAGCTGCCGAGTCATCGCCTGTTGCGATCTTGCAGAGAGAACAGGGAAGACGGGAAGAATGAAGAAGAAGACCTCAAGTGGGCTTTGTTTCTTCTTCTTCTTCTTTTTTTTTTTTCAGCTTTGGTCCATTTGTTTTGGGTTGAGAGAGTTAGGCCCTTTTAACCCAGTTCCAAAGTCCAAAATCACAGTCTTCACTCTTGGCTTCTCCTTCTCCCTGCTCGCTATCGACGTTTTGCTAACGCCGCTGCATGCACCAATCTTAGCCGGTGCCCTGGTAAAAATTTAATCCAAATGTATATAATATCTCTTAATCTATGACTCTATGTACGTAGTTTTGATTGTCGAATTGATTGCAAGAATGAGAACTAGATAGGGTTTTAATTGAGAAAAAATAAAAACCCAAAACCCATATTCGGGATTTTTGATGAATTTTATTTTCTGTTGAACTTCTGGTGTGTTCTTCGTCTGTGATTGGGAGAAGCTTGTCCGTGGCGTGATGTTTTAGTCATTTTTGGGGTTTCTTTTCCTCTAGTTATGCATTATGTATTTTATTTATTTGTCAAGTGCATTTCTTCTACAAAACTAGTACTCTTTTGTTTTCCAATTTTTTCATTATAATAGATATATGAAGATGTGGAAACTACTTGGGCTTATTCCCAATCAATGTCTCAGGTCTTACACATTGCCCTAGAGAAATGGTGTGCCATTGCCCTTTAGTGATTTCAACAAGAATGATTTTTTCTCCAATTCGTTCCATCACATTGTTTACCTCAATCTCGTTAATTAAAATGTGTTTCTGCAAATGTTTGGCAGAAAGAAAAGGTTGTTTAATGTTAATTCCCTTATCACATTTTCCCTTAGAAGATGGCTGGTAAAGACTAATATATTATCCCGTCCTAATATCTCTCATAAACACAAAAGTGAAAGTGACACATTAATTTTATATCTTCCTTTCAATTTGCTTTTCCATTGATCGAGTCTTGATGTTTTTTAGATGGTTCTTTGCCAGTTGCTGACTTGTTGTGTTGCCGGCGCTATTGCTGCTTGAATTAAGAAAACATCAAGAATTAAGAAGATTAACATTTCAATTTGAAAAAAAAAACAATAAGAATTAAGAAGATTAGCATTTTACTTTTAGTTTTTCACCCATTAGCATTTCCGGTCATTCTTGTTGTTTTCTTGTAACAGTTGTAAGGGTTTGAAATTGTGAAGTTGTGGGAGAGTAGGATTGCTCGTGGGCTGGTCCAGTGAAAGGTCGTGGGCTTCGGCCATGCCCATACGTTTTAGTGCATTTCCATATATATTGAATAATTTTTAATACTATTTAATTAAATATTAATAAACGACTTTGCTTTTACGATCGCTGATCGTCGACGGTCAACATCAGCCCAGCCTAACCTTTTGTGATAGATCCGCCACTGCTGCTTGTCATACATTAAGACCATGAGTATATCTAACCTCCTCACAAGATGTTTTTTTCTTCCAATTGGGGTTTGATTATTTCATTTTGCACAATTCAACATGAATATTTTCAATTGGTCAAGTTTGTGTGAAATGTATCGCTTGAATATGTTGTTGAGGATTGCATATATATACAATTTATTTAAAGAATTTACATTGTAAATTTTTTTTAAAGAGAACATAAAATTTTAGTCTTTAAAGATAACTTTGCATATTTCTAGTACTAATTAGATACGTGTAATAGTTTTTGAAAGGGTAATTAGTACATAATGTCCCCACCTTTCATTGTTATTGTAGAAAACATTTTCACCCTTATTTTCACATTTCATTGAGCTAAAGGTCATTTTCATTTATTTTCTCAATTCATTGTGAAATGACGAAAATATCATTCCCTTTAAATAAAACAAAAGAAAAAATAATAAAAATAATTGCGAACATAGCCCCAACTTTTTTGAAAAACTCAAATGTCCGTACCTTTCACTATTATTGCAAAAAACATCTATACATTTTATTTTTATTTTTTTGTATTTTCTCCCTTAATTATATTTTGATAGCGCAAACCATCATTTTTATCCATTTTCTCAACAAAGAATTGTGAAATAATGAATATATCCTTATATTTAAATAAAAATATATATTTTTAATTTCTAATTCTTTAATAATTTATTTGGGACTCGTTTGCACTTTTTAATTTTTTTATTTTTAAAATTTTTAAATAAATTTAATTGAGACTCGTTTGCACTTTTTAAAAAAATTGAGACAATGGTTGCAACGAATTCTTTAGTTTTTTTTAAAAAATTTAATTATGAGGGTATATTCGACATCCCACTTTTTTTATTGAAAAATTGGATAAAAATGAATAGAAATGATGGTTTGCGCTATCAAA